CTGTGTACTACCGACTACCGCTACTACTCCCTGTAATTATCGCTACCAGTACCGTGTACCACCGACTACCGCTACTAATCCCTGTAATTATCGCTACCAGGACTGATTACTGCTCAGGTCAACGGTCTGTCGACTATCTCCAGAAACGTATTATTTTTATTGATGAAGATGGTTTTACAGAATGTGTAGTAGTACGTGGGACTGTCGAATCAATTACATAAAGCTCAAGCCCTGTGGGCGCTTTAGATACATGTATTAAGTGTTAGGGTTAGGATTAGGCGGGTTTTTCACCTAAATAAATGTTGCTTGTTTAAAAAAAAAATGGTGTGATTAGGAATGTTTAAATTAATTTGGAAAGCTTCTTTCTGCCCTCGTTTATATTCATATACATGATAATCAAATGAAAGTATAAACATTTTAAAATTTGAGTTACAGCTTAAAAGATGAAACTGGCTAATAGGCATGTCTGGCAGTAAATCAATGAGAACGCAGTGCAGGGGCGTTTCTAGGATATTTGAAAGATGGGGAGGGAGAAGAATCAAATCTTTCGCCGAGAGGAGGGATGCGAAAACAATTTTGTACCTTTTTTTTGCTAAAAAACATAAAATAATTGTGAAATGCACAAATGTAACGGTTCCTGACTTGGAGCATGTATATTTTATAGTTAAAGTGTCAGGGTTTGACAATACAATATTAGCAGATTACGATAGATTGCAGTATGCTGTATGTGTATCGAGAGCTCAAACCTTCGTGCATCGAAGGGATAAACTACGTCAGTGCAGCCTCCCTACCCTTGAATCTAGAGAGTAATGTGTATTTTTTGGAATGAACGCGGTGCTTTTCATAGAAGTTGCACAATGTAGATTGTCCACACTTAAATAATCTAGGTATGGTATTTGATAGATGTGACAATATTGGTGTGGCCGGAAGGATTTGTCCCAATGAAGACTTATCCAAAAGGATAGTTACCATTGATTGTATTGTGTCCAACATGTAGGTACACTGTTTTTTAATCATAACCCTTTTTGATTTTGTTGAAATACTTGCTTAATAGTTGTAATGGTAAATATATTTGATATTTTGAAAAAGATTTGTTATCAAATACAATTAAAGTGGATTAGAAGCTTAAACAGCGTTAATTAGCCCGTGAGTTGTACTGCGGACTGTATACTGGTATATATACAACACCTATCCATGATGTATAACAAGCGTTATCTAAATTCGAATTACTTCTGGTTTTCGCCATGAGGACGTGATGTAACTTGGATTTGATCTAGATTGACATGTATATGGTGTTGTCGTCCATGATGGAAAAAACGCCTGGCTACCTACCGGGTATTGTCTTTACCCTTCCGGATTACCTACCGGGTATTGTCATTACCCTTCCAGGTTACAAGGTAATATTGTCCTTACCCTTCCGGGTTACCAGGTAATATTGCTCTTACCCTTCTGTAATACCAGGTAATATTGTCCTTTCCCTTCCGGGTTACTAGGTCGTATTGTCCTTATTCTTCCGGGTTACCAGGTGATATTGTCCTTACCCTTCTGGGTTACCAGGTAATATTGTCCTTATCCTTCTGTAATACCAGGTCATATTGTCCTTACCCTTCCGGGTTACCAGGTAATATTGTCATTACCCTTCCGGGTTACCAGGTCATATTGTCCTTACCCTTCTGTAATACCAGGTCGTATTGTCCTTACACTTCCAGGTTACCAGGTAATATTGTCATTACCCTTCTGGGTTACCAGGTAATATTTTCCTTACCCTTCCGGGCTACCAGGTTATATTGTCCTTACTCTTCAGTAATACCAGGTCGTATTGTCCTTACCCTTCAGTAATACCAGGTAATATTGTCCTTACCCTTCAGTAATACCAGGTCGTATTGTCCTTACCCTTCAGTAATACCAGGTAATATTGTCCTTACCCTTCTATAATACCAGGTAATATTGTCCTTACCCTTCTATAATACCAGGTAATATTGTCCTTACCCTTCTATAATACCAGGTAATATTGTCCTTACCCTTCTATAATACCAGGTAATATTGTCCTTACCCTTCTATAATACCAGGTAATATTGTCCTTACCCTTCTATAATACCAGGTAATATTGTCCTTACCCTTCTATAATACCAGGTAATATTGTCCTTACCCTTCTATAATACCAGGTAATATTGTCCTTACCCTTCTATAATACCAGGTAATATTGTCCTTACCCTTCTATAATACCAGGTAATATTGTCCTTACCCTTCTATAATACCAGGTAATATTGTCCTTACCCTTCTATAATACCAGGTAATATTGTCCTTACCCTTCTATAATACCAGGTAATATTGTCCTTACCCTTCTGTAATACCAGGTAATATTGTCCTTACCCTTCTGTAATACCAGGTAATATTGTCCTTACCCTTCTGTAATACCAGGTAATATTGTCCTTACCCTTCTGTAATACCAGGTAATATTGTCCTTACCCTTCTGTAATACCAGGTAATATTGTCCTTACCCTTCTGTAATACCAGGTAATATTGTCCTTACCCTTCTGTAATACCAGGTAATATTGTCCTTACCCTTCTGTAATACCAGGTAATATTGTCCTTACCCTTCTGTAATACCAGGTAATATTGTCCTTACCCTTCTGTAATACCAGGTAATATTGTCCTTACCCTTCTGTAATACCAGGTAATATTGTCCTTACCCTTCTGTAATACCAGGTAATATTGTCCTTACCCTTCTGTAATACCAGGTAATATTGTCCTTACCCTTCTGTAATACCAGGTAATATTGTCCTTACCCTTCTGTAATACCAGGTAATATTGTCCTTACCCTTCTGTAATACCAGGTAATATTGTCCTTACCCTTCTGTAATACCAGGTAATATTGTCCTTACCCTTCTGTAATACCAGGTAATATTGTCCTTACCCTTCTGTAATACCAGGTAATATTGTCCTTACCCTTCTGTAATACCAGGTAATATTGTCCTTACCCTTCTGTAATACCAGGTAATATTGTCCTTACCCTTCTGTAATACCAGGTAATATTGTCCTTACCCTTCTGTAATACCAGGTAATATTGTCCTTACCCTTCTGTAATACCAGGTAATATTGTCCTTACCCTTCTGTAATACCAGGTAATATTGTCCTTACCCTTCTGTAATACCAGGTAATATTGTCCTTACCCTTCTGTAATACCAGGTAATATTGTCCTTACCCTTCTGTAATACCAGGTAATATTGTCCTTACCCTTCTGTAATACCAGGTAATATTGTCCTTACCCTTCTGTAATACCAGGTAATATTGTCCTTACCCTTCTGTAATACCAGGTAATATTGTCCTTACCCTTCTGTAATACCAGGTAATATTGTCCTTACCCTTCTGTAATACCAGGTAATATTGTCCTTACCCTTCTGTAATACCAGGTAATATTGTCCTTACCCTTCTGTAATACCAGGTAATATTGTCCTTACCCTTCTGTAATACCAGGTAATATTGTCCTTACCCTTCTGTAATACCAGGTAATATTGTCCTTACCCTTCTGTAATACCAGGTAATATTGTCCTTACCCTTCTGTAATACCAGGTAATATTGTCCTTACCCTTCTGTAATACCAGGTAATATTGTCCTTACCCTTCTGTAATACCAGGTAATATTGTCCTTACCCTTCTGTAATACCAGGTAATATTGTCCTTACCCTTCTGTAATACCAGGTAATATTGTCCTTACCCTTCTGTAATACCAGGTAATATTGTCCTTACCCTTCTGTAATACCAGGTAATATTGTCCTTACCCTTCTGTAATACCAGGTAATATTGTCCTTACCCTTCTGTAATACCAGGTAATATTGTCCTTACCCTTCTGTAATACCAGGTAATATTGTCCTTACCCTTCTGTAATACCAGGTAATATTGTCCTTACCCTTCTGTAATACCAGGTAATATTGTCCTTACCCTTCTGTAATACCAGGTAATATTGTCCTTACCCTTCTGTAATACCAGGTAATATTGTCCTTACCCTTCTGTAATACCAGGTAATATTGTCCTTACCCTTCTGTAATACCAGGTAATATTGTCCTTACCCTTCTGTAATACCAGGTAATATTGTCCTTACCCTTCTGTAATACCAGGTAATATTGTCCTTACCCTTCTGTAATACCAGGTAATATTGTCCTTACCCTTCTGTAATACCAGGTAATATTGTCCTTACCCTTCTGTAATACCAGGTAATATTGTCCTTACCCTTCTGTAATACCAGGTAATATTGTCCTTACCCTTCTGTAATACCAGGTAATATTGTCCTTACCCTTCTGTAATACCAGGTAATATTGTCCTTACCCTTCTGTAATACCAGGTAATATTGTCCTTACCCTTCTGTAATACCAGGTAATATTGTCCTTACCCTTCTGTAATACCAGGTAATATTGTCCTTACCCTTCTGTAATACCAGGTAATATTGTCCTTACCCTTCTGTAATACCAGGTAATATTGTCCTTACCCTTCTGTAATACCAGGTAATATTGTCCTTACCCTTCTGTAATACCAGGTAATATTGTCCTTACCCTTCTGTAATACCAGGTCGTATTGTCCTTACCCTTCCGGGTTACCAGCTAATATTATCCTTACCCTTCCGGGTAAACAGGTTATATTGTCCTTACCCTTCTGTAATACCAGGTAATATTGTCCTTACTCTTCTGTAATACCACGTAATATTGTCCTTACCCTCCCGGGTTACCAGGTAATATTGTCCTTACCCTCCCGTGTTACCAGGTCATATTGTCCTTACCCTTCTGTAATACCAGGTAATATTGTCCTTACCCTTCTGTAATACCAGATCGTATTGTCCTTACCCTTCCGGGTTACCAGGTAATATTATCCTTACCCTTCCGGGTAACCAGGTAATATTGTCCTTACCCTTCTATAATACCAGGTAATATTGTCCTTACCCTTCCGGGTTACCAGGTTATATTGTCCTTACCCTTCAGTAATACCAGGTNGCTTCATTTGACAAATATCTGGTTTTTATAAAGTCAGGAATTCACGTAAAACAACTCACCAGGAACTGTACATGGAAAGAAACCATGTGAACAAAAGTATCGGACCTTAACTTAGTTACAAACCCAAACTGTGTGTCACCACAGGGTTTTAATTTTGCTGTCCCATAAAGGAATCTGTCATCACAGTCGGACAGGTACTGTCAGACAAGGCCCTGACTGTGTTGTACAGGCTACACTATAGTGGACGTGGTTACAAATTGAAGGTGGAGGGTGAGGCTGTATACCGTGCCGTTACTATAGCCAGTCAGGCCAACTGTCCACTCTACGCATGTAAGATCATGAGCCGGACAGCTGCCAATGTCGTAGGAAAGGTGAGATTTTTTCTTTACAGATCATTTCAACAATCGGACACAGGAAGTCGTCAATAAGATACTTATTCGTTACAGTGTGTGTACACTCTCTATCGATAGGCAAAACATCCTTGGTCTTGTGACATATGAAATATACAATTTCATCCCATAGTTGTACAGCAAAACAATTTTGTATGGAGCATCCCTGGGCTAAGGGAACTCAATTTTGTAAAAAGGAATGAGGCAGTGTAATAGGGCCCAATATGAAAAATAAGGGTAAATTTTTATAGATCCAGCAAAAAACAGTGTGATTTTACATGCCTTTATAGATGATCTTGCATGACCGTGATGCCAAAATATACAGGTATTGACACCGAGTTATCTGTTACAGGTAATGTTCGGTGAGCCGATTGCTGCTAGTCTTGGTACGGACGGAACCCACTACTGGAACAAGTACTGGAGACACGGGGCTGGACATGTGATGGGACCACCTCTCAGACCAGACCCCTCCACTCCGGGCTACCTCATGGACCTCCTAGCTAAGTAAGTGGTGCTCGTTTAGGGATACTATCAAATATACAGGCAAGTCACCAGATTTTCTGAGTAACATATCTGGCCCATTAGACCATTGTTAACATCTAGAATGTTAGTAATGTATAATGTCAGGGTTGTTCGATATTGATGTGAACTTTGTGAACTGCATACAAAATAGGTACATAAATTACACAAACATACTATTCATGTTTACCTTATGAACCTGCTTTTAAAGAAGGTATATCTTGATCAGTATGTTTAGGTCCATTTAAGTCATGGCCATGTACATCCATGGTGACCAAATAAATAGTTTGTCTAATGTTTAAGATCAATTGGTTCTGCTAACTAAAATATAATGTGGCTTCCTTTTAGTAATGACCTCCAAGTGACCGGAACAGATAACTGCACCTTTAACGCTGACCAGAAGGCATTGTGCAAGGATGAGTTTAGAAAGATTCCTAACAGTGTAAATGGTGTTGAGGACAGAATGTCTGACATCTGGGAGAAAGGAGTTGTGAGTGTCTTTTAAAACAGTTTAATTGAATTATTTTTGGAGGAGGTTTACTCTGTAAAATTAATAACCACTATTGACTTGAGTTTGTGCTTGTTATTAATTAAACTGTAATGACATTCTTGTCCATAATTTAGCTAAACTGTAATGACATTCTTGTCCATGAATTAGCTATAGGGCTTCATGTTCAAATTATGATTTTTTTTAGTGCCTTTTAAATGTTCTAATTCTGTAAAAAGCCTGCTAGTGGTGTTTAGATCAGTATTTATATAATCCAATAATCAGGTAACATTTATATAGTCCAATAATCAGGTAACATTTATATAGTCCAATAATCAGGTAACATTTATATAGTCCAATAATCAGGTAACATTTATATGGAGGAAATAACAGAGCATACTATTTATGTCATGGTGCGCGTCCGTCGTCCATTGTCGTCCGTCAACTTTTCCTTTAAACGACTTCTTCTGAAGAACGGATAGGCGTAGAGTCATGATATTTGACTGAAAGCTTTGTTGGTAGGAGCCCGACAAAGTTTGAGAATAAAAATGACCTTGACCTACTTTCAAGGTCACAGGGGTCAAATGTGTCAAACTCTTCAAACAACTTCTTCTGAAGAACTGAAAGTTATAGAATCTTAAAATTTTGGTTGGTGGCTTCCTGGGATGGAGCCTGACAAAGTTTGAGAAGGAAAATGACTTTGACCTACTTTAAAGTTTACAGCGGTCAAATTTGTCAAACGCTTCAAACAACTTCTTCTGAAGAACTAAAAGGTATAAAATCTTCATATTTGGCTTGTGGCTTCAAGGGATAAAGCCCAACAAAGTTTGAGAATGAAAATTACCCTTGACGTACTTTTAAGGTCACAGGGGTCAAATGTGTCAAACTCTTTAAATGACTTCTTCTGAAGAACGAACAGGCATAGAGCCATGATATTTGACTGAAAGCTTCGTTGTTAGGAGTCTAACAAAGTTTGAGAACGAAAATGAGACCGTGACCTACTTTCAAATTCACAGGGGTCAAATGTGTCAAACACCTCAAAAGACTTCTTCTGAAGAACTAAAAGGTACAGAATCTTCATATTTGGCTGGTGGCTTCCTGGGATAGAGCCTGACAAACTTTGAGAACGAAAATGACTTCAACGTTAACCTTCTTTCAAAGTCACAGAGGTCAAATATGTCAAAAACATCAAACGACTTCTTCTGAATAATCGAAAGGCATAAATTGCCTGGTGGCTTCCTGGGATAGAGCTCACCAAAGTTTGAAAAAGAAAATGACCTCAACCTACTTTAAAGGTCACAGAGGTCAACACCATTTCAAAGGATTTGTTCTGAAGAACAAAAAGGAATGGATTCATAAGATTTGGCTGGTGGCTTTTTGGGATAGAGTTTGAGAAGGAAAATGACAATGACCTACTTACAAGGTCACGGGAAAATATGTCAATTAACTTATGAAGAAGAACCAAAAAGCATAGAATCTTATAATAATATTTTGCTTGTAGTTTCAACAGATGGAGCCGACAAAGTTTGCGAGGGAAATATCTTTAGTGCAATATAATATTTGATGAGAATATTTTGCTATGACTGCTTAAATATTCAGGTGAATGATACAGGCCCTCTGGGCCTCTTGTTAATCTGCATCCTGTTTAATCATAACCTGATCTATGACTTACATGTATTCAAAATAAGATACTTTTTTGCAAGTCCAAATTTTAAACCAGTTAGCTAGTTATAGGTTTGGTCACTTTATTTATATAATATATAGCTAGTCCTTACTAATTGCTGAAGTCTTCACCAACCCCAATATGTTATTCATAATTGAAATAGATCTGTAGTTCATGTTTGTGTATATGTGTGTTTTTATTTCCTTTCAGGAAACAGAAACTGAAAGTAACAGATAGCCATGGAAAGTGTTTTTTTTGGATAGCCACAAACCCAAATATTAACAGCAGAGAACTAAAAGAGAAGTTTCAGGAGTCATTTGGTGCTTTGGTATCGGACTCTTTAATGAGGAGAGTACAGAGGAAGCTTGGTTGGCAGACCCGAACAACCATCCAGTATTGCCAATTGATCACCAATATGATTAAGAAAAGAAGACCAGAATACAGCCTAAATGCTCTGGGAAATAGAGAGGATTTTAAAAATGTTGTTTTTGTTGATGACTCCAGCGTGGAGATGAGCAGTAGTGGGAAGATGTATTTTTACAAAAATGGAAATTGTTTTGACCGGTTACCAACAAAAGCACCAAAACCTAAGCATGCCTACAAGGTAATGATAAAACCTCAGGTAAACTGACTGGTGCAGCTCACCTTGTCTGATAGGGTTAAACGTTATAAAAGCAATCTTATACTAGTGTGCACTTCTCAATCAATAAAACTAAATATGCACACTACAGTATAAACTTTTTATTTATGTAACTTACATAAATCTTCACTTTTTGATAGATGTCATTTCTACTTTGCTCAAGTGACCTATTCTTATCGCTTTCCGTCCGTCGTGCGTAAACTTTTTACATTCTCAACTTCTTCTCAAGAACCAGTGGATGGATTTTTTTTAAACTTGGTCTGAATCATCCTTGGTAGATGAGGCTACAAAATTGTAAAATTGGGATTCCTATCCCAACCCCTGGGGCCAGGGCGGGGCCCCAAAGGGAAAATTAACCAATATTTTAAAAATCTTCTTCTCCAGACTCAGAAATACCACATTTAATTTCAGGGCATAAAAAGAAAGATCCTCAGGGGCTTTATTTAGATTGTAAATTTCAGGACCCCCGAGCTATCCGTTCTCCTTTGGGGAGGGGGTAAAGTTTACTACAGTTTATATAGGGACATAACACTTTGGGGTATATTTTATCCATTTTCAGCAGAAAATTACTCAAACTTGGTCAGAATCATCTTTGGTGAATGAGGGTATACGTATTACATTGTAAAATAAGGATTCCTGCCCGATCCCCAGGGCGGTGCCCCAAAGGGAACATTTACCAATATTTTCAAATTCTTATCCTTTGATGACATGACAAGTATTGTATTTCACTTAGTTTACATGCTGATTTCCACATCACATCTAAACAATAAAATAAAGCTACCAGTACCTATGATATAACTCAGGTGACCCTTGGCCCTTGGGCCTCTTTTTAGACCATAGAGTCAAATCTCATTCTGGGAATCCATATACATAATAGTACTGCATGATCAAGAGTAATCTGATCATGAAATACAAGGTGTAGTTTAGGCAAAACTTTATATGTATAATATATATATATGTTTCAAGTACCCCAACCGACCCTTAGCTTTGTCCTTTGACCCTAACAATTTCAGCACACACCCAATTTGGAGTTGGGATAACTTGTCCGCTGGATGCAAATTGATTGTCAAACAAACAAGTCAACTACAAATATAGGATCTTTACTTCATTGGCCGGTATCAAAATACAAAATTCAATCTCCTATTTAAAAGACCTAAAAATATGTTCATTGTTTTATGTAAATATTCAATAAGCTCCAAAACACCCAGATCAAAAAAAAATGAAATTAAATGAAAATCAAACCTCAGTGACCAATGTACCCTATTTGTCATGTTACCTGAATCATCCTTTTGTTTTTTTGCCCGAGTGTATTATCTAAGACTGGTTCCCTATTTTTTGTTTCCTTAAATAGCATTTCGTGACTATTTTGAGGGTATTTTAATAGTAAATAATATGAGTAGCATTCTTGCTGCTATGGCGATTAATTAGAAAATACATGCTTAATTCACCACTAAATCCTCATTGAAATAATAAAAAAACAAATAACTAAAATTATTGTAGTTCAGACGCAAGGTTTTCATGGAACATTTTTGTGCTATAGTATAACAGAGTTATGATGCTCTTACAAAAATTGCAAAGCTGTTTGATTTTATAGTTGGATGCTTTTTATAAATGGAAAATTAAGGATCTTAATGGGTGATATCCACCTCTTAGTTCCAGAGAAGAGGTCGCTTTAAGCAATATAGCCAAATTGCCCCGTTTTGGCCCCGCCCCTCAGCCCCACCGTTTGTAGATGCTTCCAGTCAAATTTATTTGAATTCCAATCAGTGGTTAAGAAGAAGTTGTTTAAAGAAATTGCTGACGGACGCCATAGTATTGCATAAGGTCACCTTGGTCCTCCAGCCTGGGTGAGCTAAAAATGATACTGCCGTAGATTAGTATTGCATTAATGTATATCAATTTCATGAATGCTGAAATTGTGTAAAATAAATTATCTATAACCTTCGGCAGGTTCTTCGTTGGCAGAGGCCCTGCCGGGTCCCAAGGTTATCCGGCCCTTGGCTGGCTCTACTCTAGAGAGCACAGGTGTTGGCTATCCTGTTGCCAGGGAGGTTGGTCCCCCTTCCATTGATGTCAGTTCATCTCTGGAAAGGGTGGGCCCTCCTCCAGTCTGACTTTTTAGTCAGTCCTGGAGCGTCTGTTGATGCGGGTAAAGTCATGAATGAGGGTTCCTTTTGGGTCCTCTGCTGTGATGGGGAGTGGTTATACTTGGAATTATCTGGGCCCCACAGAGTGTAGCAGCACTGCCACCTCTCATCACTCTTCACGGTCCTGGCCAGGTATCCGGTATCAACCTGTGGGCCGGCCCGGCCCATGGCTATTGAAGAAGGTGACAAACCTTAGGAGAGTCAGGCGACACCCCATGGTCCTTTGGGCCTCATGCTTCGGGTACTATGCATCCTGGTTGTGGTGCTTTCCAGCAGCAAACTGGTCATATGTCTGGCACTAGGCCTTTCATTTCTGGTTCACTCAGGGAGGGAGTGGCAGTTCACCTTTTCCTTTTGGTCAAGGTATTCCTCCCCATGTACTCACTGGTCCCATTGGCCCAAGGACGCTCCAGACTAAATTAAGATAAATTCCCTTTATCCCTACGCTTAAGAAGGATTTAAAAAGTTTTACCTCTATTTGCCCTATTGGGCCCACTTCTCTGCCCCAAGGGGGGCCACACCCACCGTTTATCCAAAAATATTTTCATTCTGTATGTATAACACAGGTGCCTCATCACCGTGTATTGATACACTAAAATGACGTAGCACAGGGCTTACTTGCTGGACTTTTATTATTTTTCAATTCTTTAGAGTTTTCCCTTCTTCATCAAATGTTATTCTACCCTCTAAGCTGCGAGATTCATCGTTACTTAACGTTATTTTACTTCCCTTAAAATATTTTCTTCCTTTGTAATAATATCAGTTTTCTTTCTGATTTTTGGGAATAATTTTAGCAGTATAGTTTCTTTTTTCAAGATTGAAAAAGTAAGATGTTGTTTTTTTTCCCTCTTCTACCCATTTTGCCCTGGATCTAATGATACTTCCCATAATTCTCTTCAAACGAATAGATTCTAATTCCCTTTTCCTCTACCTTAATTGCTCCAGGTCTGGGTTTGTTTCAGCTTCTATGACTGATATGGATTTTTTAATCTCTTCCTCCCTGAGTTTTGTTTGTGTTTTCCTGAACGATGAGTATGAAATAGACCTACCCCTTACTTCCACTAATAAAGTCTCCAAAAAAAGCTGATCATTTATTATAAACTGTATATCATTATCAGGGATGTTTTTAATGGAATCAAAGTTATATACAGGCAAACAATATTGTAACTTAATATTTTCAATGCAGTTTTTAACCATATCTTTATATACAGGGTCATATAATAAGGAATCGTTTAGTTTCCATAGACCTTTACCTTTTTTAAATTCATTCAGTTTCAAAGTAATAATGGGGGCAGAATGATCTGATCTATAGCCAGGTTCAATACTACAGTTATTTATACTTGATAAAAGGTTCTCTGTAAAAAGAAAAAAATCTAATCTTGCCTGTTTGATAGGGTTACTTCTACGCCAAGTGAATCTCCTGCTATTCGAATGATATTCCCTGTAGATGTTTAATAATATATGTCATTAAAAGATATAAGCATTCGTGTTCATCTGATGAGAATATGATGATGATGATTCATTATGGACGATGTTGTTGATGATGATGAGGAGGAAATGTTATGTTGTTGATGATGAAAGATGATTGTAGATAATGTTGATGATGATCATGCATGGTTGATGATGGTGATGATGGTGATGATGGTGATGATGGTGATGATGGTGATGATGGTGATAAATGATAGTCAGTGATGATGATATAGATGATGATCACATATTGTAGAGGATGCTGATCAATATGTTATTGATGAGGACTTGAGATGATGGTATATGATCATAATGACAATCATACCGTGTGGAGGATGAGGATTTGAGATGATGGTATATGATCATAATGACAATCATACCGTGTGGAGGATGAGGATTTGAGATGATGGTATATGATCATAATTATAATCAAACAGTGCACACCGTCCAAACAGAAAAAAATGATTGTTGGGTTCAAGTAAAGTTCTTTCGCCAAAACGGTCACGGAATTAGATTTGGGGAAAAAATTTGAATTGATAAATACATCGGAAATATTTCCAAAACCAACTCAACTAAGGACCTTTCCCAACTGTATGCAAAACACTAGATTTTTGTGTGTAAACTGACAAAATATATAGTTTGGTCACTGTGGCATCAGGGTTACATTGTAGACAGGTTATACTGTATATATTTTATGTTTTTTTTAAATCTAACCGGTTTCCAGTTCAAAATTCAACTTTATTTCTCTTTACAACATTATAAAATAAATGTACAGAGAAAACATATTTACAACAGTATACAATATCAAATGTAACACTTAAGTATATATGGAGGACAAATCATGATACTTTTTTTAACAAAATCTGGATAATTTGCAAACATTTCTAATATTTTTGTTAAACATTGTTTGTATCTATTAGTTCTGAGGACATTAAAATATTTGGCATTACATAGTAGTATTTGTATAAATTTAACTTCCTTTCTGTTTTAACAACAAGTAGTGAAATTCATCACCAATGTCTTGGGTATCGCAATATGTGCATATTCTGTTTTGGTGATCACTACACTACTACTGTATAAACATCGGAATACTAGTTCTAAATTAACAATACAATTTGTTCATTTTCAGTCAACAATTCGAGATAATTTTCAAAATTACAATTATATTAATATGTTCTGTATCACACAGACTTAAAGGAATTAAAAATGTCATTACTCCACTTTTTGTAAAAACTGGTCATTTAATCTGCTTTGTAATAAGTTTTACCCCTGGTGGGTTACTAGGTTCCAAAAACTGGGAATTTCCATAAACATATATATATATCAGTCCAAACTCATTGAAAATACTTTCTATAAATTTCAAGTAAGGAATTAATTTGTTTTCATTATTATAAACATGATATAACGTATTATACAAAACAATATTCAATTTACTCTCTTTATAGACTGTAACATTCTGTAACATTCTTACATTGGAGTCTCCACACAGACATTTTTAAACCATAGATGCAAAATCCTGCATTCTGAGCATATTTTAGCTAATTATTTATACTTTAGACATTGTATATTATTTCACTTTTTTGGAAATTAATTTTTTTTTTTTTTGAAAATCACCAATGTCTTAATAACATTTTGATGTACAATTTATTTTCTTAAAATGTAAAAACAACACGAGAAACAGTGCTGTTGTATTGATTGAACTCTTTGTTGTTATGTCGCCATGCGGGAGCGGTTTCCTGAAGTCAAACTCGTCCAGGTTCTGCCCTTCAAGCATTTCACGCATCAACCAGTCAACATGGTTGCCCGAGATCCTGTTTCGTAGGGGTGTCACCACTGCATTTTGTATTGAGAAGGCCTTTTCACAGTCGCTTGTGTGCACAGGATGGGCAAGGGCAAGTCGAACCAGTGTGAGGAGGTTGGAAAATTCTTCCCTGTGCCACTGGCTAATCAGTCCCCACAGGTCTCCTGTTGACGCCCGTGGGTAAAGCTGCACCTTCATAACTTCTTTGACCTACAATGATTATGATAGTGACTGACAAGAGTTCAAACATTTAACAACTAAATAATAATTCTTGAAGCTATACATAACTATAAGTAAAATATAAATGACAGAATGAATAAATCTTTGCAATCTTTTCTGGGTAAGCTATGTCATAAATATGGTATTCATTATATTATTCTTGTTCTTCTGTACTGGTCCTTGTCAGCATTTTGATACCGTATGTACTTGGACGAATTATTACCTAAAACCCTTACTAATGTGACGAATTATTACCTAAAACCCTTACTAATGTGACGAATTATTACCTAAAACCCTTACTAATGTGACGAATTTGCCTGCACTAACGTTAGGAACTAATCGTCTTAAGAAAACTAACATGATGTCACAGGATAATGCAGGATAAGGAAGAATTAATGGAGTTTTTTTGTTTTTGTTCATCGTCCAAGGGCATATAAGGACGGGAGTCAGACACAGGCCAATTTTGACAATATATATGTGTTTTGAATGACACTTCGGAGATATTCACACTCAATTATTAACCAACAGAATCGCCATATTCATTAGATTCGAAATAAGAAATAATTGTACATAGAGGTGTAACGATTCACCGATGCATCAATGAATCGTATCATTTCTTGATTGCCGATGCGTCGTGGCATTCGCCGATAGTATCGCGATACTTTAAAAAAGTTATATACGGCCATTTACCACTCTTTTAGACTGGTTACCAGTCCTGTATTGCGACCATTTATCGGCAATAATTCAGACATTTTCAGAAATATTTATAAAAGTACTTGGGGCAATTAACTGGTAAAATTTCGCGTAAAAATTCAAGAATGTATGACTTATTTTACCATCACAACAAGTTGTAATTCAAGGCTATATTACACGGTAAAATACGAAAAAAATATAGCTCTCTCTATCGATTTGAACTTATCTGATAAGTACAGCGATTGGGAAAATATATCGACGGATTGTATGGTAATTTTAGTACTCTGAGATTGAAACGTTGTTCTTGTGCAAACTTATCCTTCAATATTTCAATTGTGCCAAAATGACACGTGGAAAGTCGCAAAGTTCGGCGGTGTTGTGTATTACAGAGAGTCAAGGTCGGGTTATACTATTGACTGGCAGAAACTCACAGGGACACATAATTACGGTTTAACCGGCAATGATGTCAATTAGTTTAAAAGATAGTTATTTAGGGACTGAAAACAATCAAATACATATAATTTTTGTCTCCTAAAAGAAGGAAAAGCTGATATCTTAAGAGTTTGGTGTTTTGATGTCGCCATAATTCAGCTGTTAGAAGTCCTCGCCGGTATCTGATTGAGTTATTTGCAGACGCTCAGAAAACAACAAATCATATTTTTCAGAAAAAAAGGAAGTTGTATTCATCAATAGGATCGAAGTTTCTCTGAAACATATTTTTGTAAAACCAACATTTTATATTACCGACAACACCTGCTCTGCCCATACAATTTTGTAGCCTCATCTACCAAACGAAATTTGAAAAAACTCCATCCACTGGTTCTGAGAAGTTGAAAATGTAAAATGTTTACGCACGATGGACGACGACGGACGGAAGGTGATCAGAATAAGTCACTTGAGCAAGGCTCAGGTGACCTAAAAAGTTCTTGCATTCACTACACAATGCCCTTATTTGGCAATAAAAGGGGCATAACTCCACCAAAAATGCATGTAAACTTCTGAGCTACATTGGTATGAAATATATGTGTAATAAGTTTGAGTTCAATAAACCCATTGGCAAAGGGAACTCCAAGTTATCGCACGGAAACCTTGTTTGGACGACACAACCGACGATGATGCCGCTGACAAAGTAATACCTATATGTCACCGCGCGTTGCAGGCGACACAAAAATGAAAGTAGACAATGCTTTTATAAATAATGATATAATTATCTTTTCCTTTTTATAACAAAAGGATCAAATATATATAATTGATCACATATAATTTACCTGGTATTCCATCAGCTGCTTGCTTGGAACGCAACGCAAAACGGTGTGCCGAACAGTGCCAGTTTTCCTCCATGGGGTTTTGCCGCAAGAAGTGGCCCATCAGTGTCTCCTTTCTCCGTCCTAACCGTGGATCTATCTGTTATCTGGCGATCATAGTTTTGGTGATATGGTGATAATTTCAATAGACACATACTTCAATACGAGGCTGAGAGGGCCTGTATCGCTCACCTGGAAATGTTAGCAAAATTGAAGTTGAAATAGCCAGATGTTGCTGGTAGTGTATTACATGGTTAGTCAGGGGTTATATTTATATACAAAATCCTGTCATTCCTACAGAAGAAGGATTTTGAAGAATTTGCAATTTTCCCCCAATTTGGCCCCGCCCCTCTGCCCCCAAGGGGTCAGACCCACCATTTATACAAAATCAATTTACCTTTCAAATGCAATAAGATGCTACTGTTCAAATTTGGTAAAAATATCATCATCCCAATGGAAGAAGAAGGATATTAAAGCTATTCCTCTATATCCCTATTTGGCCTCGCCTCTCTGCCCCCAGAGTGGTCAGACCCACCATTTATAAAAATTTGGTTCCCTTTTTCCCAAAGGGTGCTTCATACCAAATTTGGACAAAATCCTTTCATTCCTACAGAAGAGGGATTTTGAAGAATTTACTGTTTTCCCTATTGGGCCCCATCCCTCTGCCCCAGGGGGGGTGGGGTGTCAGAATACCCGTTTATACAAAATTAAGTCCCCTTCACCCAAGGATACTTCATACCAAATATGGACAAAACCCTGCCATTCCTACAGAAGAAAAAGAATTTTAAAGAATTTGCAAAAATAACCCCTATTGGGCCCCACCCCTCTGCCCCCGGGGGGGCACACCAACTGTTTATACAAAATTCAGTCCCCTTGGCCCAAGAATGCTCCTGGCAAAATAAGGATAAAACCCCTTAATCCCTACAGTAGAAGAAGGATTTTAAAGGTTTTACATCGATTTCCCCAATTGGGCCCCGCTTCTTTGCCCCCTGGGGAGGCCACACCCACCGTTTATACAAAATTAAGTCCCTTTGGCCCAAGGATGCTCCAGGCTGAATTAGGATAAAATCCCTTTATCCCTACAGTAGAAGAAGAATTTTAAATGTTTTACCTCTATTTTCCCTATTGGGCCCCGCTCCTCTGCCCCCAGGGGAGGCCATACCTACGGTTTATTCAAAATTGAGTCCCCTTGGCCCAAGGATGCTCAAGGCTAAATTAGGATAAAATCCCTTTATCCCTCAGCAGAAGAAGGATTTTGAAGGTTTTACCTCATTTCCCCCTATACGGCCCCACCCCTCTGACCCCAGGGGAGACACACCTATGGTTTATACAAAATTGAGTCCCCTTGACCCAAGGGTGCTCCAGGCTTAATTAGGATAAAATTTCTTAATCTCTACGGTAGAAGAAGGATTTTTAAAGGTTTTACCTCTATTTCCCCTATTCCCCCTGGGGGCCACACCAACCGTTTATACAAAATTGAGTCCCCTTGGCACAAGGATGCTCCAGATCAAATTTATGTAAAAATCCACTAAGCCGTTCAGTTCAGGACTAGTAGCGTTTTAAAGGAAAAGTTGATGGACGGACGACAGACACTGCACCATGGCATAAGCTCACTTGCCCTTCGGGCAGGTAACCCAAAAAGTAATACAAACTGGCATCAGGTATTTCCAGTTCGTTTGTTAACATTTCTAAAACCGGTAGTATTTAATCGTTTTAAATTACGATCGTGAAGTGCCGGTACCGGTCCAGAGTATGTTTGGATACATTTGTTATACAGTATAGGTCCTATCAAGAGCCAAGATAATATTTATTTCATCATGTCGTTATTACAGGCTAATATCAGATAATATTTATTTGTTTAATTTTTAATGGACTTTGACCGTTACAAATTATAATTGAATCAACAATGAAAACAAACATGTGACTTTTAGGATGTGGATGTTTCTCTTCTCCAGGTGGTCCCTTATTTCTTTGAAAATCCCTTGGCCGGTGCATGTGTTGATCCCGAGGTCGGTAAGAAATGGTGTTTACGGGGACATGGTAACGGAACAGTTATTCGTGCAGAAATGCAGAGCTTGTGATGTACAGCTATGTCTGTAGTCTCAGACGTCAGTCATTATTGTTAACACTGGCGACTTCTGTAATTTCTGTGTTACATCTTCATCTATTACACCCCTGATGGACTCCAGCCGACCACATGCGGTTTTATAACTGCAGTAACTTACATGTGAATTGACATCAAGGTGATCCAAGTCCCCAACTCTTCCAACAGCCCCGGCATCAGCGAGGTCTACTCAGTGGAATCCTTTGCCAGTAAATGACTTTGATGCATTGGGTGATCCCTTGATCCTGTTCTGTTATTGCCTGTTTAACTGCCGTTACCATATTGGCCTGTTCCTTTTGGGCGATTATAGCACGTTGTTGTTCCGCTGACTCTGTGCCAGACAAGTGTGGTTGTCTTAAAATTAGTGCAACCGGTTGCCATAGCATTTGTGACGTTTATTTTAAAACTGAATGTACAGAACAGGATGTCTTTGTCCCTGTCATATCCCAGCCAGGAATACAGCACCAACCATTTATTTTGAAATATTGGTTTTACTGTCGTGGGGGTGAGGGTAGCCTGACTATCCTCCTTTGTGTTTACTGGGAGTAAGGTGTTTTCTGTTTAAAAATCAAACAAACCAATTTGATGTGCGGGCATATTCAACTTCGTTTTTGGCGACATTTTGAATCAAAATTTAAAACCAACAGATGGATATAACCAAACTTTGTAATTTATTCAGACTGGATGGGAATGAAATAAGTGTTGATGAAAGTAGCTATTCCAGTTTCAGTTGTGTAAAAGTATCAGCTTTTCACTTCAAAACCAACACCCAGGTTCGGTGATCTTGGGTCTGTCAGGGTCTTACAGTCTGATATGATTGAAGTTTGGCAAATAAACACAGACACCGAAATATAAAATTCAGGTAGTTTATTAATATGACATGGAAATATCTACACACAGGGACATGAGTTAAGACTACGCTGTCACACACTGGAGCACACATACACATCAATAACATGGCTTTATTTACAGGTGGTACAAGGCCTAACTGACTATATATACAGACGGCTACACGGCCATATGCCTATTGAATAAACGACGAAATGATATAGGATGGCTACACGGCCATATACCCATTAAATAGACGACGACATGGTTCAAACACGACTCTAAAACTCCTACAAAAATACTACATGGCTACAGAGAAACTACTGCTAGTACTGTGACTGGTAAACTATCTATGCTAACATTACCCTATTACGTTTAAGAGACCCTATACCTACAGCTACTCCTAAAGTAGATAAGAGGTGAGCCGAATCAGTCCTGTCAAGACTTTTATTCTGACAGCCGAAGTACACAGGTGTACCGGCTTAAATAGGCAAAAACACAGCACTTTGCATGTGCAATAGTCGCACAAAATTACTCGGAACATATCCGCTGTTGCTATAAAGTTCCGAACAGTATATCAACTTCCGGTATATCCTATGGGCGGATTGGTCGAGTGGTTAACACTCCGGCCTTCCAAGCAGGCGGCCGGGGTTCGATCCCCAAAGTCGCCGTATGCATGGAATATTAGAGAAAGTGTTTTTCTCCTGCCCACACAACTCCAACAACCCAGGTGGAGTATAAAATGGTCTGGGGTGGGTGTTGCGGTATCTGTGCTGCAGCATTCAAGTGAGGTGGCACTATAGATGATACCGTTGGAAGCACGGTCCCACTACAAACAGAACACAATACATCTCCAGCACACACACAGGCATACACACATAGGTAGATATTAGCCAGGTGGCATAGGACTAGTAGTTAGCGCCTGATAAGACAGCTCCTGCGAATTCCACAATATCGTATTGATTAATATATATACTAATTGTATTGACTGTATAAAATTGTATATCTATGTACTGTAAAGTGCTTTAGAGTGGCTTATGTTAGCTGGATAGGGCCCTATATCAAATGTATATTTATTATTTTTATTTATAATGATCATGATGGAAGACTAGGCCTGGTAAGCAGACAGCCGTCAAATATAACTTTTTAAAGCTTATTAATTTATTGAACTTTTACAGTTGAATAAAAGCACATTTTTTGGGAAAGAGTGTCACAATAGTATGAACTATTTTGACGAAAAAGCATCCGTGCCCCAATACTTCTGCAAAGTTTCATTGGAATCCAACAAACACTTTCAGACAAAAATTTACGGCAGGAGAATGGGGAGAAGGAGGAGAAGAAGAAACGGAGTAAAACCAATAAGTCCCCCATTTCTGTTGGGGAACTTCATAATAAGAAACGGAGCAAACACAATATGTCCCCCACTCCGTTGGGGGGACTTAATAATAAGAAACGGAGCAAACACAATATGTCCCCCCACTCCGTTGGGGGGACTTAACAAAAGGCCCAGAGGGCCTGTATCGCTCACCTGGATATCGAAGTAATCATGGCAAAATATTCTCCAAATTAGATCCAATAAATATGCCAGAACCCAAGGCCAATCCTTGTAGCATATCTGTATTAGATTTTTGATGCCCAGCAATTTTATGTATGGTTGTGGGGTGGGGATCTCAACTATCTCGGTTGATATCCATCTCTTAGTTCCAGAGAAGAATTAGCTTAAAGAAAAATATAGCCAAATTGCCCCCTTTTGGCCCCGCCCCTCAGCCCCCTGCGGGGTCAGCCCAACCAATTGTACAATTTTGAATCCCCACCCCCTAGGGATGCTTCCAGTCAAATTTAGTTAAATTCTAATCAGTGGTTAGGAAAAAGATGTCGTTTAAAGGAATTGTTGACATACGGACGTACGACGGACGCCACAGTATGGCATAAGCTCACCTTGGTCCGATCTAATAATAAGAAACGGAGCAAACACAATATGTCCACCCACTCCGTTTGGGGACAGAAAAACTGAAAGGAAGAAGCTTGTGTAATTCTATTGGAGAACTATTGGCTAAAAATGGAAGATATGAGGAAGCTATCTTGGAGCATGACCACCGATGGACACACCCACAGCGATCTGTATACACCACATACATAGACAGTTAGCCAGTGCCATTTGGAGCATGAGGCCGAGCTTGCTATCAATGAAGCCTTTCAAGACAAAATAGGATGTGCTATAGCATGTCGTAGGATTGGAGAGTGTTACTGAGGACAGGAGGAGGAGGAAACAGCATTACAGCTTCAGCAGCGCCATCTCAACATTGTCAGTTATATTTCTACAAGGGTCAGGGAAAATATATCTTCTGAAAAAATTATATTTCATTTTTTAAGTGATTTATGATGTAGAATAATATCTCCACATACTCAAATAAAGTGTTTACATTATAATCTTCAACTTAAGGTTTTTTTAAGAATTTAAATTTCTGTATTAAATGTTTTATTCTTTCAATAAATAAAGCGTTTAAACTGTGCCTCAACCATCATTCATTCCCTATAACTACACAAAAAGAGGCAATTAGCACTGACCAATCACAAAAAGAGGCAATTAGCACTGACCAATCACAAAAAGAGGCAATTAGCACTGACCAATCAGAGTGGATGACCACCGATGGACACACCCACAGCCACCTGTATTATACACCACATACATAGACAGATAGCCAGTGCCAAAGGCAGGGGGGGGGAACAATTGGCTAAAAATGGAATGTATGAGGAAGCTATTTTGGAGCATGAGGCTGAGCTTGCTATCAATGAAGCCTTTCAAGACAAAATAGGATGTGCTATAGCATGTCGTAGGATTGGAGAGTGTTACTGTGGACAGGAGGAGTAGGAAAAAGCATTACAGCTTCAGCAGCGCCATCTCAACCTTGTCAGCTATATTTCTACAAGGGTCAGGGAAAATATCACATCAGAGTCGTGAAATATTTGTACTAAAACAGAGTTGTCTCCCTTGAAAGATCTAAGACAATATGGCAGCAGGATACAGGTACAACCTGAGGCCTCAGCCACGCTTTGGGATAATGCACCCTGATTCAGGGCGTGTTGTGGAAAAACAGTTAGAATCGGTAATGTATTCTTGTCTTAGTCGATTCTGAGTTGTATATTTATCATATCATCTTTTAATATTTCGTAACTTCAACTTCGGAAGTTTTAACACATGTTTAGGCGGTGTGAAGGGAAATGTACGCACATTAAATAACATGCCTTTTTGATATAGAGCTATGTACGCACATAAAATAACATGCCTTTTTGATATAGAGCTTACTATTCCCATCGTCAGTTTTCTTTGTTCAGATGTTTGTCAGGATGAAACGCTAAAAGTATTTATTTGCGCTTTTTT